CATAACAATAGTTACATTATATGCGTTCCAACACTAGGCGTCTAGGCACCATTATCTCCCCCGATTTCCATAGTTTATTGACCTATTTTAAGAGGATGTAACATCATACTAGTATATATCATTCTGGAAAATTGAGACTACTATGGAATAAAGTCACTTTTATATATCAGTTTATCTATTAGTATGAGATATACCGGTCATTCCAGTCGATACGAAATTAATACGCTTGTGTAAGAGCATCTTCAATAGTTCCTAAAAAAACAGTTGGTAAATCAATGAGTTTTTCATGTGGCTAAAAAAAGTTGGAAGCATATTTGTTGGGGTTCCTCCAATGATTTTCAAAATCTCGCTCCTAAAATATAGAAATACAGAAGGAAATTCTGCATCAGGAATCTCAGATTTTTTTTTAAATTACACCAATCATTTTATGTTTTGTTTTTCTCTTGTACCCTTGTATTATGAATCATGTCCTTCTTTTTATTTCTCCACATCTTTCCACTTCCAGATTGTCCGACTGATACGTGTGCGTACATTTTCACATGGTTGGGTCGATTTTTCCATGTGCAAAAAATTAGGAGTTGAGACAGGGAGTTGTTGGAGAGCGTTATTTTCAATCTTATAAAAATAAATCAAGATTGGAAGTAGGTTTTAGAACTCTTGGAGATGCTCTACCATGACTTTGATATATTTCCTTCCTAGTATATCCACTCCAAAAGAAGACAAGAGGGATAGTTGAAATGAAAGACGGAGAAAAAGGTTTTGGCGCCAAAAGTGTGCGGCAATTACGGATTAGCAGTGCGTTTGGCGCCATCCGCATTTCACAAGGGCACTCGGTAATATCTCCTTCGGCGATTTTGCAACTCGACGGGAATATATCCAGGCATTCAGGTCCCCCGCAAAACCCCACGCCAGCGCCGCCTCTTTCCTCTCCCGTCTCTTCCGTTCGGTCAGAGCCCAGCCCACTCCGCCGTCGCCGCCCGCGAGAGGAGTCCGCTTCATCCGTTCGCCGCCTCAAGGACGGTAAGTCTGGCCGAAATGCTCGATCTTCTTCCCTGTCTGATTTGTGGTAGTAGCTGCGGGGATCTGCGGGCGGGATCGAGACCGTGATTTCTTCAGGCGCCCCAGTTCTGCTAGGGTTTTGTCTCCATGGCCTAGCCTTGCTGCTCCCCGATTCCATGACCCGGGGAGAGAATCCTAGCCCAAATCCCGATCTAATGATTGGCGCAGCCATTCCCGCGGAAGGAATAGGTGGGAGCAGGGTTGGGCGTAGAGAAGCCAAGCGGCGCGAATTGGACCATCAATGGGTGAGCGCAGGTTGTCAAAAATTGGAACTCCTCAGGCTCTGTATAGTTTGCTGCCTGGGATTTTTTAATCGAGATCTACAAATCGGTGCCTCGGATTTCTGTTTGTGATCCTAATCTGTGGGGTATGGAGAAACTGTCTTTAGATAGTGTTCTAATGTCATCTTAGGCGTGCACAGTACATGCGACTTTGATACTCAGCAGCAGATTGTATATGCTTACTCATTATGCGGCTTACATTCTTTTCCTAGGCTACCTACTGTACTTTGACAAGCATGTGTTCCTGTACAAAATGTCTTGCAGTCATTTCACAGTAATAATGTTAGCAGAAATTCTGAAGGCTGTTTCTTTAGAATTTATAGGCATTACAAATTTTATGGTATATCACATCCATAATGCCCAAAATGATTATCTCAGACTGAATGTATATTGTAACCCACTCATAGGTCACATTGTCAGCCAAAACTCTAGTACATGTTTTGCAGTAGAGATCCTCTCAAGCACTTATTCATCACACTGCAATCTTTGATATGGTGTTTTTTTGTGATAGTGACTAGAAGATGTCTGCAATTTATTTGCTTCACTGTTTGCTAGATGATTCTACTGAATTGCATTGAGTGATCTGAAATTCTGAATCTCCACTTTGCAGTGATGGACACGTCAAGCCCTGCAGCACTAGTCAATGCAGAGATTCTGAACATGTTTGTTGGGCGAAGAGTGCGCACGGTTGTTCAAGTCCAACGCAATGAAGGTGGAGTGGTTGTCGGGCAGTCCAGCGATGGGCATCAGTTGAGTATCAAAACCGCCATGGATGTTCCTGTATCACACTTTATGGAGGTTTATGGAATCGCTGAAAACAACCAGACCATCCGTGCTGAAGTTTGCACAGATTTTGGTCCCAACTTTGGTGAGATTTCAAATGCCTTTGGCCCTTTGATTGCAATAGTATGAACTGTTTGTATATTCTGAGTGCTACCATACCATGGTTTAAACTTTCCCACATCCAAGCTTGCCAGCTCTTATTTCATTCCATGTCATAAGAAGATTGTAGTATACCCACGCCCCTGATGTACACCAATTTAACCATGCAAAATCATTGAAAATTTTGAGTTTCACCCTCCTAATGAGCCATCGGCTACTATTTTGCCCTCCCTTGTGGTATTATTTTGCTTGGCCCCTGACCTTAACCTCTGAACATTGAGGAGCAACCGAGCAAATAAACAAGAAATAATCTTTGTCCCCTTCTTTTCTGAACTTGTCAGCCTATAAAGTGCCTGGGTTTTTCCTAATCGGATGAGCAAATATCTGTTTTCCATTTGGAACTTGATCTTATTTTCTTAGAACATCAAAGCAGCCTAGGTGATTTTCCTGTTTACACAAATTACAGATTAAGACAGAGGGAGGGAGAGAGAGAGAGAGCCAATTTTTTAAACTGCAGTTAGTATTTGGACATTTAGGAATTGGATTTATAGTTAGATGTTGGGTGCTCCTTGAACTACAGCAAAATTGACTCCCATTGTTACAAGGAATGTGCATCATATTTATTTTTTCATGTCTCCTAGCCACACTTACACGGTTTTGTTCTATCCCCAGATGGCGATAAGTATGCCTCTGAGATCAGCCGTGATCTTAGAATGCGTTTCAGGATGAGAAACATGTTATCTGGCAGGGGCTTTAATCGTGCTATCCTCCATTGACAATGAGAGGAGCTTGTTATGGCTTAAAGTTCTGTAGCTATATTCTTTTTACACTTGAGATGCAGATAAATTTCTTGTACTAGGCCTCTCTTCTATGCCGTGCCTTGCAGTGACAGCTTTAATTACACAGCATCCATACTTATTTCCCCCTATATCCATAACACCATTGATTTTTTTCACCATGTTTATCTGGCAGATCCCAAGCCTTTTGATCAATTGTGCAAGCTGGCGAGTGACAAGTTCAAGCACATGTTCCTGTAGAGGTCATCATCGCATGGAGGACCTTTGGCCAACTGAAGCTTGTTTGAAATTGATATGATTCGCCTCTAATGTCCCTTCACTCACCCCAGTACTCTGTTACTTGTCAGTATTGGACTCCTATTAGTAGTAGGAGTACTAACCTAAGCAACATACTACGAAGACAAGTATATCATGTAGTTGAAGAATGTATGTTCTTTTCTACTTTTAGGCAATCCAAACCTAAGCTTGTTATGTTGCTGTCACTTGCATTTGGACCCTGAGAAGTTGCTACAATGGCCATGCAGCTTGATGAGAGGAAAGTTCTAATGTGCTAGTTACATGCCCCATCTGAAAATTCAAGCTTTGATGTTATGTCTGCAAGATCCACCTTAGTCAACCAGAAACCATCAATTCAGTTCATTATTGGGTTTAAGGCTTGAGATTTAAATTTTTGTGTGCATGATTATGCAAATGCGTACCTGAATCTACTGTATGTCTACTCGGTGGCATGCTGGTGAAGCTTTGCTTGGTGGTTGGGGTTTCTTGTAAGTTCAAGAGCATTGTTTGCACAGCGCTAAGATCAATGGCTGCTAGTGTTAGCTAGATTGGTGTGGAGAGCTGTGAAAATGGCTCTTCCTATTTGGATTCTCAATATTTGGAATACCTAAACCAGTGCAAATTGCAAAACATTGTTCTTTTGTTATCTCTGAACATATTTTCAGTTGCCAAGCATTTTCCCTCAAATTCTTAGGAAATTAAATATCGATGATACCGAGTTATGACGAATGATTCCTATAGAGATGCTTTGAAGTTTGAACACCATCATTCAGAGCCGCTTGCATAACAGAGTGGATGTATTGGTGGCATATTGCTTTCTTTTACCTATTAAAGTGTAATCTTTTGACTGCGACATCTCATCTTTCACCTGAGTGCAACAAGAACAAATTCAAGAGAGAACAAAAATGTCTCTTTTGTACTCATTAGCTTAAAGTCCTGCACTTGGCCGGTACCCAGTCCTGTAACAGGTTTTTTTTAATGGTTCGAGAAGGTTCAGGGTGTGCCTTTCACCTTGACTTTTCATGACTACTGTACACAATAGGAAGTCTGGAACTGGTCTAATTGGTTATAGAATATAGATACGGAGTTTCTGAACCTTTCTCCTCCACGTTTCAACTACTTTCTGATCGCCATTTGTGGGATGGATGCTAGTCTATTAGATAAGTCAGTAGATTATTTGTATCATAACCTAAATTATCCACAAAGTTGTTATATATAGGTCATCTCGCTTAATTACCAACGAATCAATCAGTTAAGGGTTCTGATTTTTTATCAGATAAAAAAGCAAGAACAAATGGGGTTTCTCGGGGATCACCAATGTACGCCAGACAAATATATATAGCTGTAGCATTTGTTTTCATTAAAAGGCTCTGTTCGCTTCTCTTATAATCCATACTTTTCGAACTTTTTTTTTTTTTTAGCCAAACAGTGATTTAACTTGTTTTTTTAGTTGTTTAACGGGACCTAAAATGAAAAAACACTTATACTCCATATATAACATACCATGAAAGAGAACAAAATCTGAAGAAAATTTCATACTTGTTTTCTGTCTCATAGTAATAGATAAGCAGACAAACAGTGTAGGGTGTTTTTTTTTTTATAACAAGACAAGCAGTGTAGTCGGAAAATGCCGTGGGATGAGGCATAATCATGGCGTGATTTCTGGCCTAAACGCACCTTGTGTTCATCTGCTAGGTTTTGGTATTCAGCGGGATGGCAGGGGATGCATGGACTTGGCGAGCCCGTAGCCCCGGGCCCCGAAGCCCAGGCATCCGAGAACCAGGCCCTGCCGGTACGGCAGCGACGTGGTGCGCCGAGCACTGCCGCCGCCAGGCGCCCTCTTCGTCGCCGGCGCCGCCGCGCCCTTGTCCGAGGAGGTGGAGCGGCGCCGCGCCGGCTGTGGCGCTGGGCCTGGGCAGGACAGCAGCGGCGACTTCTTGGACGAGCGCGACGGCCAGAGGGACGGCGGCCAGAAACCCAACCTGCTGGTGACCTCGGCGGTGCCTGATGATGACTGATCCGACCCCGCGCAGTCGACGCCCGTGCGGCTGAGGAGGTCCCGCAGCGATATCCGCCGTCGAATGTTCTTCGCCGAGGACGAGGAGGAAGACGACGAGGAGGCGGACGCGAAGGGGTCGGACGGCTCGGTGGCGGCACCCCTGTCGGCCCTGGGGCTCCGCGTCGGGGAGGCGGACTTAGCCCGGCGAGTAGCCCGCGGCGAGCGTCCGTCGTCCCGCTCCCGCTCCTGCTCCTCCTCCTCGTCGCCGCCGCACTCCTCCCAGCCGTCCTCCTGTCGGATCGGGGAGAGGCAGCCGACGCGGATGCGGCCGGCGACGAAGAGCTCCTCGGCGGAGCTCATCGTCGTCACGCCCCCCTTGGTGCCAGGACCGCCGTGCGTCCCCGCGCCGTGCGCGGCGAACTCGAAGTCCCCTGCGGCGGCGGCGGCGGCCGCGCAGCAGTCGGCATCGGCGAAGTAAGGGGACGAGGCGGCGGCGGCGGTGGAGGAGGGCGGGGAGCGGAGGATGTAGTGCACGGGGCTCGCCGGCGCGCTGAAGAAGAAGTAGTGGCCGTCGTCGTCGGCGTCACCCTGCATCTTCGGCGAGACTGGAGAGAGAGTCACCTGTCAGGGAGGCATGCATGGGGTTTTGAAGGGAGGAAGGGGACGGAAGGCAAGCGGGCGCCGGGCGGGGGCGGCTATGGTGATTGATTGGTGAGGTGCATGGGTGGGAGCGGAGGGGAAGGTACGTGTAACGACGGGAATGGAATGGTTTGATCGTGTGCCGGGACGTGGTGTCGACCGAGGCGCGTTTTGCCGTCGTGTCCGGGATAACTTCCCATGGACTCGCGTTCACTCCGCAGAGTTTATTCGGCGATCGATCGCAGCCCGATGAACCGAGTTTTAATTGGGGGCCGCCATGGCACACAGGTCGTTAATTTTTCAGCCACTCCAGATTTTTCTTTCAGCTGCCCAATAATTTTCGGCTGAAATTAGTCGCCACGTGATAATTTATTTATATATAAGCGCATTCATTAGTTGATTTACGACGGTGATAAGTCCGGTTAGTCTTTGGTTTGTTGTGAGAGGAAAACCTTTGTTGGTGATAAGCCCAATTGAAACAAAAAGTGAACAGGCTTTATATTTACAATGTGTAAGTGGTAGATTACCGTAGGTGCTGGCTGCACACTAGCTGACGCATTTTGGCTCATTTTAGGATCGCTGTCCCGAGGGCCACACCACAGGGCTAATATTAATAAAGTAAAATACATAGATAGTTCATTAACGTGTAATGGTGTGTCAATTTGATCCATCAGGTTTGAAAGTATATTTTTAGGTCTAAAACTTTGATCAGTGGTGCATGAAGAGTCAATACCCCTTCGTTTTATATTTATATTTTGTAGAATACCCCTTCGTTTTATATTTATTTCACAAGCTTACCCTTTCTTGTGCTAGGGCACTTACCCTGCTCGCCGAACCACTTCTTCTCGATCTGCGCCATCTCCTCACCTTCCGCCAGCGTCAGGACCACGCACGCATGACACGTCCGCGCGTCAGCAGGCTGCCCATCGGGAAGACGAACCCGAAGCCGTCGGTCTTGTAGACCGGGCCGAACATGGTGTAGCCGTCATCGCGATACTCTGACAGGACACTACTCTGAGATATTCTTTGTAGGGAATGACCGATGATTTGTAAGGACGGTTTTGCCAACTGCCCCTACCAAAGGGTGGCTACAAATGCCGATTTGTAAGGACGGCTGACCAACCGCCTCTATAAATCGGATTTGTAGGGGCGACTCACTATTTGTAGGGACGGCTGGATATTGAGCTGCCTCTACAAATCCCCACCCCTATAAATCATTTTCTAGAAATTCGCGAATCTGGACCAAAAAAATACGAAAAAATTATTTTAATCCGAGGAGGCCCCCACCGGTAAGCCACACGTCGCGCGCTCACAAGCCGCAAGTCAGCGCATTTTTTTGCGTTCCATAAACTATAAGAGCGATATGTAAATTTTGTGAACAATGTTACTATCAATTTGTCGGATGAAGAAATGACCAAATTAAAAATTGTAGATCTTGATGAGTTCTACAACTTTTATGTTCATGACTTTTTGAGCTGAAATCATTTAATATTTCAAAATGAAATTTGAAGTTACCATTTTTTAAAATTCAAATAGATAAAACACAGTCACATTAAAAGATGGACAAAATAATAGTTGTAAGAACAAAATAAATTGATAGGGCATGATTTTAGAAAATTTTAGAAAAAAAAATCATCAAATTTGAAGTTAGTACGGGGAGAAAGACTAGTTACAAGTTTTAGCTGGAGATTGAGAAATTAGTGTTCTTCAACAATTTTAAAATGAAATTTAAAATAATATTTTGAAGCGAGTAAATCATTTCAAATGAAAAAGTTATAAACAATAAAGTTTCATAAATTTTTTGAGATCTACAACTTTTATTTTGGTCATTTTTTCATCCGATGTCGTATGAAAAAAATTCAAATTTTAGTGCTTAATTTTTACTATTCGGCGTCTATTTGTAGGGACGGCTGGATATTGAGCCGCTCCTACAAATCCGATTTGTAGGGGTGGCTGGATATTGAGCTGCCCCTATAAATCAAGTTATTTGTAGGGACGGCTGATAAACGCTAACAGCCTCTACAAATAGATTTGTAGAGGGACTCGTTTGAATACTATTTGTAGGGGCGTCGCTATATTTTTTTTTAAGTAGTGGGAAGAGCTTCAGGTACAGGATCTCGTCGAACACGGCGGTGACCTGACCACTGGACAACGCGTCGGCGTACTCCTCCGCCGTGCTTTGTAGCTCCTCATCCTGGCCTCGTCGAAGCCTAGTTTCTGGAGTTGTTGCTTGACGAAGGAGCCCTCCTGGTACCCGATGATGTCCCTGATCCGCTGGAGCTCCCTCACGTAGAAGATGAGTGCGCGCATACTGTGCGAGAAGACGAGCATGGAGAAGGCGAAGTAGAAGATGAGGCCGAACTGCTGCCACGGTGTGCCTCGGAACTCAGGGTTGATCCGGTGCTCGATCGCCCACACCACAAAGCCGGTGAAGCAGAAGAAGGCGAGGCTGGAGAGCCACAGGCTGGTGGTCAGCGGCTGCAGGAAGATCCACATGCTCGTGCTCGTCTCCGTGCGCACTGCCACCACCATCACCACCCCGAGTCCGTGAACGGCATGCTGAAGTCCACCATGCCCATCCTGCTCGCCGTGATTCTCACGTCGCCGCGCTCTGCAGTCATCATTGGCACGAAACCACCCCGTACACACCCTACCCTACGTGCATGGTATGTACCATCTTTGTTGGTTGGTGTGTACTGACCTATTCCGGCACCAGGGACACGAGGTTTTCGTAGGACTCGGGGCTGCTGGGGAACGGCACGTACTCGTAGCTCACAGGATATGGCATCATGCTCGTGACCGCGTCGAACACCTCGATGCAGTAGCCTTATGTCAGGTGTTCCTGCTGAAAATGTATCTAAAAATAAAGACAAGGGGTTTTCTACAAATATAAACATAAAACGAAGATGAATGACACTTTCAAACCACGATGAACCAAATCGACACACCCTCACAAGTTAATAGACTGTCCATACATTTTACTCATATTAATATCACGCCCGCATGCACGTCTGAACGGGAGCAAAAGCTAGTAACTGATGATACCGCGCCAACGAAGATTCGAAAAAAAAAAAAACATCCAACTAGCTCATAAATCAAAACGGCCTTCGTTTGCTCGTATAAAAGGCGATTTTTTTTTGTTTCTCCCCAGCAAGCAACGGCTCGCCACAAAGATTAATCTGCCCGTGCGATCGTGATTGACGCCCCGGGCGGGTCAACAATAAATTAATTCCCGGGTTCTAATAATCGAACAACGCGTTTGCTTCTCTGTTTGTTCGGTAGACTCTGGGATATAGATGAACGTGAGCAGCACCAGTACGATCGATAGGATAGTCAGATAGTTAGTCTCCTGGTTGGATAGCACCGCGGAGTGGTGACGACCAAACGAGACGATGCATAGCACCGAGCCAGCGATGGAACGGTGACCGGCCGGTTTCCTAGTGGCCGACCGACCCACCACACATGACACGTGCTCTCGGCATCCTTTCCTGTGACAACAAATCAAAAAAAATGCATAGAAGATCAAAGAAAAATATAAATACATGATGCAACAATCTAGTATGTTGTAATCCAAATTCTAAAGTAGAAGCAAATCTTGTGTAAAGAGACACGGGAAAAAAATGAAAATCAACATG